TTTCATAAAAAAGAATAAAATTACATATACAACTAGCAACCGGCCAAAAGCCGAACCTAGTCGGTGGACATCCCATACGGGAGCCTAGGCTACCACAACACACCCACAATAACAGAAAAATAAAAGCTCCCAACAGGAGAATACACAGATCCCAACGAGATAATAAACCCAAACACAGAGAAACACATAAAAAGCACATCCTACACACAAACCCAATCCACAAAACAAAATAACATAAAGCCCTTCCCGCATACAGACAAAAGCACCAAGCAAACCACGTCTACGGCACACTAAGCCGACCACTTATACGGACAGGATCTCGCCCCTAGTCTCAGAACCAGAAACTGCAACGCCCGCCTAACTAGAACCAAAATCCACGAACTTGAAACCGCGTCCAGGTGACCGACCCCACCTCTTAGCCGATGGAAACCCGAACTCAAACCCCCACCACAACGCCATCGATCCGAAACCAGCCCACACACCACGGCCCGGTTCTTCACTCCAGCCGTCCCTTCGGCCCACGCACCAAGGGCTAAAGGGACAAAGAGACCCAACCATCAACCAGGTCAACGGACTCGCAACCCAGCCCCACCACACCTCCGCCGCTACACCGCCCGTGGGATCGACGACTCACGACCTAAGGGTATTGCCGAAACCCTTTTGGATCCAGCCGTTCAACCCGCCCCGCTCGAGAATAGCGGCATCTGCAATAGGAGGTGGACTCGCACAGCCAAGAGGTGGCTGCCGCCGAGGCTCGGCGGCCCGCTGGAGAAGACAAGCGGCGATTTGATAGTTAGGGCTTCAAGGAGAATTTGGAGGAAACGGGACAAGAGAGAGAATTGTGCATTGTCCAATTCCATTGCCACATGGACTCAAAATATTATATTATTTATTTTATATATTTTTCTCCACCAACTAATTATTATCTTACATATTTAATTTATTCTACAATTGACATTCACCATTGAAGACAAACTATTTTTATTTATTTTCTCCACAACATTCGTATGAAAATAGACATTGTGTCATTGGAGATGCTCTTAGAGCACCCACAATGCTTTGGGTCTCTTAACAAAAAATCACATGTCACATGGAAAATAGACTTAGTCTATAAGAGCATCTTCAATGCATTAGGTCTAGTCTTGCCTATGTGGCAAGTAAATAAACTCAAGTTTTAGATGACGTGGATAAAATTATGTAAAATTAATAAAATTCACTCCAATGCAAAGAGACTAGGTCTCTACTTGGGTCTAAAATGGACTTAAGGAGAGACCGGGTCTCTTTTTCTGGCTGCCACATCAGCAGGACCCAGTCTATTTTTATTTGCATTGGAGAATATATTTTTTTGGACCGGGTCTATTTCTGATGTGGCATGTAATTTTTTGGGATTGAACCCAAAGCATTGTAGATGCTCTAAAAAAATACTTCCCAATGCAATTAAAAGTGGACATGGTCTAGCTTATGTGGCAATGAAAAAAAGAGACCAATTCCACACTTGGGTCTATTTTGGACCCAAGTACAAACCCAAACACTCATCATTTGCTTTTAATTTAATTTTTTTTAATGAATAAAACATATTAGAACATTTCTATTGGTCGACATGTATGCTAGACCTAGTCTTTTTATTTTTGCATTGCAAAGTTTTTGAGTTTTTTTACTTGGGTTTGTCCATGTCATTTAAAACTCAGAGCACTCACAATGCTTTGAGTCTCTTAACAAAAAATCACATGCCACATGGGAAATAGACCTAGTCTATAAAAAAATACTTCCCAATGCAATTAAAAGTGGACATGGTCTAGCTTATGTGGCAATGAAAAAAAGAGACTAAGTCCATACTTGGGTCTATTTTGGACCCAAGTACAAACCCAAACATTCATCATTTGCTCTTAATTTAATTTTTTTTTTAATGAATAAAACATATTAGAACATTTTTATTGGTTGACATGTATGATAGACCTAGTATTTTTATTTTTGCATTGTAAAGTTTTTGAGTTTTTTTATTTAGGTTTATCCCTATTATTTACCCAAGTCCAATTATATGCCACATATACAAAAAGAGACCCAAAGCATTGTGAATGCTCTCAAGTCCAATTATATGCCACATATACAAAAATAGACCCAAAGCATTGTGGATACTCTTAGAGCATCTCCAATGTGAGATGTTGGCTTAATAAAATGTTAGCCACATTATCAAGTTATAAAGTGATTATAAAAATTACTCTCCAATCCATAATGTTATGGACTCTTTTATGGTGACATGGAGAAAATAAATATCCAAAGTGTGAAGCCCACTTTCTAGTTTTCCAAAGTGTGTTTGAAAGCCAACTCATCCAAAATCTAATTTATTTTAAGCTTTTGAAAGGGATGAATTGGAGATGTGCATTCCAAATTAAAGTCTTCTCTTTTGACATTCATATTAAATGAATTTACATTTCATTCATCATTTGACATGTGTTCAAATTTAATTAATATTAAAAGTGGAGCATTGAAAAGATGCTCTTATACAATCCCAGCTCCAAATAAAGTCAGCTCCATATAAAATGGGGATAAAAAAAATTAAAAACATGATAAAAAAAAGGTTAAGATTATACAGTGTTGGCCATCTTTACAGAAACCACACACAGAGGCAGCGCATGGTTTCAAAGACCACAAATCCACCGGAGGGCTTTTACTTGGATCCGACGGGCATGGCCTTGCCGAACCTCGGCTCGTTTTCTTCACCCGCGGCCGGCAATACGGCGTCGCAGATGGAGGACCCTAGCAAGAAGGTTCGGAAACCGTACACCATCACCAAGTCGCGCGAGAGCTGGACCGAGCCGGAGCACGACAAGTTCCTCGAAGCACTGCAGCTGTAAGTCGAGACGTTTGAGCTCCGAAAGTTGTTGTGGTCGGAAAAAGTTAGGGTTTTGGTGC